CGTCGACTCGGCAGAACAAAGGGGGGCCGCCGTCGCCTGGCCACCTCCAGCGGGGAGGAGCCCTTCGACGCGCCGCCAGGTCGCGCGATCATGTCCTAGCGCAGATGGGCGGCCACGCCGACCGCGGAGACCCAGCCCGCGCCGACAACGCGGAGGGAATTGTGCGTCTGCTCGGCGGCCAGCCCCCTGACGAACTCGGAGGGCACATTTGGCCCGATGACCATCCAGGGGCGCCAGGCCTCCGGGGCCTCAGAACGTAGAAGAGGGCTTTCCGCTCCGCTCCGCTCCACAACAGCTGCTCCGACTCCGCCAGCGCGAGGCTGGCAACCTGCGACGTGTGCGGGAGCTGCCCGGTGCCCCCCTCGATGCAATGCTGGCACGCGTTCGGGGGGATCAAACTGCGATTCAACGAAGCACCAGGCCCCCGCTCCTCCATCCAGGCGGATCGGCGGGCCGCGTGGCTCGACCACGCCGAAAGCCCCATTGATCAGAGGGACCCCGTGCCAACGCGCGAGCTGGTCCTCTGCGATCGCCTCCGCCATGTTGCGCGCGCGCAACTCCTCAACGATCAGGGCCCACTGGTCCGGCTCGGCCCGCGCCCGAGCACGCGCTGCCGCGGGCAGCCGGGCTCCCGGCCCGCGTGGAACGAGCTCAGGGTCGAGGGGCGCCTCGCGCACGAAGCCAGTCGCCAGCGAGGCTGCCAGGATCAAGGCAGCCACCCCACGTGGAAGCACCCCATCCAAGATCTGGGCAAGACTCAACTTGTGCGGCGCCGACACCTCCGACCCGTCGTCGGCGACCATTTCGCCCTTCAAACGCATCTCCCAATCCGGGCCACCTCGCCCGGCCCCCTCAAGAGGCACTCCGGTGCGATACTCGACGACCGAGCCTCCGCAGCGCCGACAACTGCCACTCGCTTTCACCCGCGGCCGCGAGCTCAGCACGCCCTCGCAAGAAATGCTTCGTCCAGTTCTGGCCTGCGACGGCGATCTGGCCAAGGCGTTCATCTCGGCCACCTGCTCGCCATTCAACTCTGCTAGCCGTCATCATACACGGCGGCGGCAACAGAGCTCGCTGCCGGCCCCCTGGACGCGGCCCACGCTCGCCGCGCCAAATATCGCGAAGGGGTTCTCGGAAACGAGGAGGTACATCTGACGGAAGACGGGCGAGGGCAGCAGCCGCGCCACGCGGCCGGCGTAAGTCATCGAGCTCTTCCTTCACCGTCTCTCTCCAACAATCGAAATGAGCACGAGGCGATCTAAGATCCTGCCTGGCCTGCGCCTCTGGGAGCTCCCGCGCGGAATGCGCCGCGACCCGTCTGCGTCGAGTCGCGCGCTCCTCGGGCGGGCCATCATCCGAAGCCTCTTTCAACCGGAACTCGCGCGTCAACCTCTGGGGCGGCCGCGCCCGAGGCCCCCCGGCCAGAAGCGATCGCCTCGACCTCGGCCACGGCCCCGTCCTCCACGGCCCCCCCCCCAAAGCGCAGGACTTCCGCGGCCGCGCGATGCGCCCGCGGCTATACTGCTGGCCCGTCCTGGTCCTCGACGCGCACTTCCGACGGTCTGGGCTAGAGGGTTACGCGGCGGGCTTGGGGGCCGTCTCCTCGCGGCGTCCTCTCGGCAGAGGGGGGCGCGGGTTTGCGGGGCCCCCTCGGGGCCCCTTGGCGGGGGGGACCTGCGCCTCCCGCTCCAGCAGCTCCTCCTGAGGGCGCTGTGGAGCCTGCGCCCTGCTGCCTGGGGCCCGCTCTCTCATGGCCACGCCGTCTCCTTGGCCTCCAGGCCGGCGCCACTTCGGCGTCTCTCTTGGGGCCTCTGGGGGGCCGGCAGAGGTGGCCGAGGCGAGCCGGCTGCGGCTCCTCCTCTGGGTTCGGGTCAGCGGGCCGCTGTGGGAGGCGCCTTCCACTTCGCCTCCTGCAGCTTCGATTTGAAGTCAGCCGCCCGCGACGAGGCCAGCTGCTCTCCGTGCGACGCCGGGGTAGGCAAGGCGTCTGGTCCCACTTCCAGCTCCGAGGCCGCTGTCCATGACCTGTCGGCCAGGCTCTGCTCGATCGCCTTGAACCTTTGCATCAGGAGGTCCCCGGCCTGCGGGAACTCCCCCGCCTCCAGACAGTCGAGAACCCTCGCAAGCGCCTGGACCTCTCGAACGTTGCGAAGCCCCACCTTCGCCGCCGAGTAGTGTCCGAACACCGCGGCGGCGAGGCACCAGGTGACTTTCGGTGCCCTCCCGCTCTCGCCGGCCCCCGTGGCCCGAGCTCTCTCCATGAGGCCCGAATCGTCGAGCTCGCCTGGTTCCTCGTCCGCCACCTGCCGGACCTTGCTGGTCCAGCGGGGGAGCGCCTCGTGAAAGAACCGGCCGGCAAAGGCCTCCTCGCGGCGGCGGCCCTGGCCCCTGGATCTCCGACTTCTCGTCGCCGAGCGCCGCCGGGCCCGACGTCGGCGTCCATGATCATGGCTGCGGTCGCACTCGGCTGGGGCGCGCACAACGAGGCGCTGCGCGGCGGGCAACATGCCGCGACCTCCTTCTCCGCGTCGGCCGCCGTCGGCATCGCGGGGAGGGGGGCCTCCCAGCGGCGGCAGCTGTCTCGGGGAAACCCACGTCTCGAGCTGCTCTCCGCCCTCAGGCGCACCCACTCGGCGTCGAGGGCGGACGTGCGGGACAAGCTCCTGGTCCAGCGCGGCACAAGTGGACCAAGCCAGGGGCCAAGCCAGCACGCTGCGAGGCCTGACAGACTCCGCACAGCCACACCGCCAAGAAGAGTCCATGATCATCCGCGCGACCGGCCTCCTCAACCTCAAACACGGCGGTCCCGTAGTACACGCCTGGGCCTCCGACGCCGCGGAACACCAGCGGGACCTCGAGCACAGTCCCACGCACCCAATCGGCCTCAACCAGGGTCGACGCCTGGATCCACTGGCCTTCCTCGAGCGCCCTGAACCCACGAGCACCTGCTGCGGCTCTTCTGGGCGGCCCCCGTGGCGCCCCAGGCGGCAGCGCAAGCGCCAGGGCTGGGGGAGCGCCACCCCGGGCACCAGCAGCATCACCTCCGCCTCCAGCCGCGACTCCCGGATCAGCACGGCCGAGAACTTCAAATAGCCGAGCTCCAACGCCGCGGGGGGGTAGACGTCCAGGCAGCGTGGGGCCCCCACCTGCCTCGCGGCCAGCGGGGGGGGCCAGGGACGCCCGCACGGGCACTTGGCAGCACGCCGACCGGAAGCGGCAAGCACAGCATCGGCGTCCCTCCGCCCCGGGCCACGTCAGCTGCAGCTCCTGCGACGTCGATGCGAGCGAGCGCCTCAGCACCTTAGCCCTGCAGCGGCCGAGCCGCCGGTCGCCTCCTCAGCTCTGGCCGCACGTCAGCACGCGCCTTGGCTTTTGCCTTCGCATTCGCCTTCGCCTTCGCCTTCGCCTTTCCTTTAGGCGGCATCCTCCTCCTCGGGCGCGGCCCGCTGCTCCGTGCGCAGGTTCTCCAGCAGCCGGGCGAGGCTCCTAAGGGCCTCGATCGCCCGGTCGAGCTCGGCCCCCCTCGGCCCCCGCAGGTTGTCCCACAGGGCGCGCCCCCAAGCAGGGAGGCGCGAGAGCTGGGGAAGACCGCTGCGCCACTCCTCACAGGGGCGCTCGCGGGGCTGGCGGGCCATGAATTGCCCCGCGCGACGCGGGGGGCGCAGAGAGCAAAATTGAAAGGCAAGGGAGGAAAGGCAAGGGAGGCGAGACCCGCGCTCACCTTGCCTTAAGCGAACAAGAGGGGCGGCGACACCCGCGCACCGCTCTTGATCACAAGCAGCTGCAGAACAAGATGCGGCAAATTACGACTCCCCCATCGCCCCATCCAATAATCGGCACGTGTCTCTATGCTTCATGTGTGTCTCTCTAATGCATACACAAGGTGGGCTGCGCCCAAGCTGCTACACACCGAACAGGGGGGGTGTAAGTAATACTGCTGGGTGCATGAGCGAAGGATGATACCATCGATAGATGTATGTATATGTGTATATATATATATATGCCGAGCGGAATCACGTACTCACAGGCGTGCTAGGTAGGCAAACATGCTGAATAAGCATGACTGAACACCAACACAGTCGTGGATGCGTTTAGCAATTGCGCAGGGGAAGCATGTCCACAATAAGGACTTTCAGGATGAGGAGAACTATGAAGAAGACCTCGGAAACGAGGGGGAGGGATTCGAGGACTTCCATGACATGAGGAGTAAAATGAGAAACAACAAAACATGAGTGTGGACTAAACTTGGAGGATAAAACGTGCGACCAAATAACCACGAACCCTCTTCCTGTTTTTCTCTTCGCGGGGCCGGTTCAGCGGCGGGGGGGTCGCGAATGCGGGGGGCGACCCCCCCTCCGAGCGATCGACCAGGCGACGCGATGAACCATGGGTGGACGTCTTGTCACTCGTGGCCACCCTCGAGGGGCGGGAAACGATACTGAGTATCGTTTCGCCGACCCCTATCCCCATGGGCGTGGCCTGGGCCCCGGTGGCCGTTTCACCCCCCCTGGATGGGGCATTGGCCGCCCCCTTCGGGTTCCGAGGGGTACATGCCCAACTGGGGTGGTTGGATTGTGGGGATTCTGGTTGGGGAAAGGGGATGGGGACAGTGGTCGCTTACCACGATACTGAGACAACCTCCCTGGGCCACCTGACCAGACGCCCTGCGCGGGGCGCGGGGTGCGGAGAGCGGCTTTAGATCTCCTTGCCCTCGCGCCGCGCCCAGGAGAAGAGAAGAGCCCTAGTGGGAGCAGCGCCCAGACACACCCAGGGCATGCGGGCTTTCGCGCGAAGCATACTGCGCATGTTTGTTGGAACGCATCACGTTCGCGAGCCTGCCCCAGATAATGTCCAACGCACTGTGCGCGCGGTGGCGGCTGCGAACATAGTATCATGGTCATGCTCCTGTCCCCGACCTCTGGCCCAGACAACGAAGCGAGCTTACCTTCCCGCCCCCGCCAGGTGACCTCCCCCGCCGCCTCCGCCCCGCGGAGGCGGGCCTCGGGCGTCCAGTGTTGTCGCGCAGCTTGCAGCGCCAGCGGACGACCTCGATGGGCGGGAATGGGAACTCCAGCCTCTCCGGGCCCAGCGGGGGCGCCGCCAGGGGGAGCGGGAAGGCGGGGGCGGTGAGAGGAGGATGACCGAGCAACTGGTCGCACTGCAGTGCGAAATTGCAGATCCCCCCTCTTACCCTCTACCCTCCTGCGCGTCCGTTACCCTTGGACGGTGCCCGTGGATACGCGATTTTTGACTGCGCTCGGACGGTGACCGTTGGGGCAGAGGGGCGCAGGGACACCCAAACAGAAGAGGCCACTGCAGCTGCTCTGCAATCCGTGCAGGGCCTGTCTGGCTGTTCCTGCTAGGCCCCCTGGGGCACAGCAGGCGGAAAAGGAGGAGGGGAAGAGGGGGACAAGGAGGAGGAGGGGGATGACGACGACGAGGAGAAATAGGAGGGGAAAGTGGGAGCAGGTGAAAAAGGAGGCAGGAGGAACGAGGATGAGTAGGACGAGGGAGATAGGGAGGAGTCGGAGTGGAGTCGGAGTGGCAGGATAATTTGAAGGGTCTTCTGGTTCACCATAAGCGAGCACACCATTAGTCCAAGTCCCCTGTCGATTGACAGCTGGCACGCAGGCACACGCCAGCCGTGCAAGAGGGAAAGGTAGACGAAACAACGAAAGAGAGAGGCAGTGAAGAGAACTTGGAAAAGGAGGAGGAGGAGGAGGAGGAGGAGGAGGAGGAGGAAGAGGGAGGAGAACGCCGACGGCGAGGCGGGCCATGTTGTTGATCCCCACTCTTACACGAGATAAAGGAGCAGGACTAGGAGGAGAAGGAAGGAGGAGGGTCAGGGAGGACGAGTAGAGAGAAAAGGGGAGAGGGTGAGGAGGATGAGTCGCAACCCCAGACGTGCCCATGCTTAAGCTTTTTTGCATCGCCCTAGATGCGATCGCCCCTCATGAGCGCATATCGGGTACGAGCATGGGCATGCCACATGACATGTTCCTACCCTTCGGACCCCGTGGGGCTTCTCCGCGTGGTGCGGTGAAAACAGGACGCCATGGAAAAGAACGACCGTAGTTAGTGGAGGCCTGGAACGCGGATGGAGGATCGGACGCTCCTGAAAGGAGGAAGAGAGCGAGGGAGAGAGAAAGCGAGAGAGAAAGAGAGAGAGAGAGAGAGAGAGCGAAAGAGAGAGAGAGAGAGAGAGAGAGCGAGAGAGAGAGAGAGAGGGAGAGCGAGAGAGCGAGAGAGGGGGGCCTGAAACTCCAGCCTCGAAAAAGCCCGGGGCGCGGCCCATCGGGAAACCTTAAGTCACTCTGGCTGGGGGCCACAGCCCAGCCAGGGGCCAGCGACAAGGACGCGCCCAGGCAAAACGTGGCCCTCGTCTGCTAACGGCGATGCTGGTTAACGCTAACGCTTACGGCGATGTTGGGTAACGCTATAACGCAAACGGATGCCAAGGCCACGCTAACGGCGATGTTGGTTAGCGGCGATGTTGGGAATCTGGTTCTTGCGACGCCGAACTTGCGCACAACAAATATTAGAACATCACAAACCACTCTCCGACGTGTCGACTGCGCCAATGTATCGAGCGACACCAGTAGGGCGAATTGAGAGAGAGAAAACAAAGAAGCACGAACAACGCTTTCCTACACTTGGGTTGGTCACGAACCACCCCCTCGCCTACAATTCCGAAACCTTCATCGCCGTAACCTACATCGCGTGTCTACGGGGACGGAGGAGGAAGACCAGACAGGCGGCAGCGGCCAGCGGCGGCAGCGAAGGACGGGAGGGAGAAGCGGACGCACCTGAGAAGGGAGGCTCAACCCCAGGAAATCCGAACGTACAATCAAAACGTGTATTGAGGACGCGTTGCAAGAACGCAAGACCCTTGGAGGCCGAAAGTATGATTCTTGTTGGGCGGCGGGCGGCAAGTGAACACAGCAAAGGACTGGCCGCAGAGGCAAGGACACAAGGGTACCCTAGATGAATGCGCGCGTCCTTACTAGGCGCGTTGGCTCTGTAGTGGATGCCACCATCTGCCAATAGCAAGATGCAGACCGACTTGAGGAGTGCACTCGGGATAAAGGTGGGATCTGGATATCTTCGAGACGCCAGGCAGAGGAGGAGCTTAAAGTTGTCGAGTTGGCTGGAGGTGGTGAGAAGCTCCATGTGTGGCGGAAAAGTGAAGAGCAAGCATGGGCTTGGGAGCTTGGGAAGAGGGTCCTGCATGTGCTGAAACAGCCGCTCGTCTCCCCCCTGGATCGAACCAACACTGATAACAACTTCAGGCGCCGGAGGCATGGCATCAACACAGTCATGACTCTGGATCGTATGCAGGATGATGCTGCGCCTGAACCAGGTCTGGCGCTGAGGGATCGCGAGACGGCAAGCCCCATGTTCGATGTCGTCCAGCTGGCGACGAGCAAGCCCGAAACCAGGACACGACATAATATTCCTATGTATTGCGGCCTTGCTGTCCAGGACCAGGGAACTGGCCTGGATGCCGAACCCGAACATTTCCAGGGACTTCAGAGCATCAGATGCGATCGAGCGGGAAGGGTCGACGGACAGCGCGCCAATCGATCCAGACATCGGACAGCCCTGCCCGATCCTCCGCGTCGACCACAACCCAGCCTCACGCGGACCGCCAAGCTGAACCTTGACCCACACCTTCTACTGTTTCTGGACCGCGGCAGTTGCGAAAACGACGCACCCTCCATCCTAGTAGCTGCTGCTCCAGGACCCTAGCTTCCTCTTCCCCGACCTCCGGACTCCTGTGATGTCTTCAATCGATGGGCCCCTTCCCCCCCAATCAGACCTTTCGGCCTCGTCTCTGGGCCATCCCTCATCCCTGGTCATCTTTTGACGCCCATGGGGCCAGAGATCAACTCCCGAAAGCCAGATCCAGCGAAAACCCCCGTCTGTCTTTCGCCAATGAAGTCGGAAGTCTGGCTCCTGGGGACTCCGGGGACGGCCTCCGGGGGCATCGGCAAGCGCCGCGGGGCCCGAAAGCGGCAGAATCCGTCATGAAGCTCGATCCTGGATCGAGCCTCGATCCTCGCTCCTTCTCGCCCTCCCTTCTTCCCATCCCTCCCACGGCCGTTCTCGTGCATACCCCCACGGGATATTCCTGGGGGCCGTTCTTCTGCATACTGGACCAGTATGCACCCCCGCGGAGAGCTGACCGTGGCCAGAAATTCGATCAGGGCAGGGCGTTGGAGGTCTTGTCCATCCGTCCTGACCCCCCCCTCTGAAGGAGGGTCCTCCAGGAGGCTCTTCTGGCCTGCCGGCCCGAGCCTTCACGGCCAAAGCATCGGGAGGGCGGAGGCTGATGCGTCCACTCGCCTCCCTCGCGTTGCGGCAAACGGCATTCTGACGCCGCCCCGCGCTGCTGCGGCCGACCCGAGCCGAGCAACGCCAAGGGGGGCCACCGCCAGGGGAGGGGAGGGGGGGCTCGCCACCTCCTCGAGGAGCGGATCCCCGCAGGGCCCCCCCCCCCAACCCATCAGAAAATCCCAGGAACGCCCCACAACCTCCCCGCTCTTCGATCCTCGAACCTCGACTCTGAGGGGGAGCTGGCGACCCCGTGGTTCTTGGCACACCTGGGACTGGCGCGGACCCAAACGTGGGGGCGATGCCCAGCAGCGACTCCGGCCCACAACACACAGGGGACGTTGTCGGGCGGGCGATCTCTGTGCGGCGCCCGACAGCGACGCGGGGGCGATGGCCAGTAGCGGATGTGGCCCGCAATCCACAGGAGGCCGCTGCTGGGCAGGCGATCTCTTGTGAAGCGCCCGCCAGCGGACGCGGCGACTCCGGCAGGGCGATGCCCAGCAGCGAACGTGGTCCAAAAATTCACAGGAGGCCGCTGGTGGGCAGGCGATCTCTGTCGGGGCGCCCGCCAGCGGCCGCGGCGACTCTCTCGCAGCTCCTTTCCAACAGAAGGGGCAGGAGCTGCTGCCGGGTACTCGTCCTCGCTGCTCCCGTCCCCATCCCGACCCTCCCGACCAGTGTTGCCCCTCCCCCCCCCTTAGCATTGCCTGGCGAGGAGGGGGGGCGGGGAGCATAGTTCTACAGGCGCCAAGTCGACGTAGCAGAGACCCTTACGTAGCACAACGCTCCAGGAGGGTGCGTTCCTCGACGGGCCTCACTCGGTCGCACTCTGGAGAGACTGCGGCACCCAGGTCCGCGACAACTGGAGTGCTTGACCTGGCGGATGCGAGCCGGGTGCTCGCGCCCCCTTCTCAGAAAGCGTGCGCACCTGGGTGACCTGACGGGCGGGACACTTCGTGAGGACTAGATCCCACAAGCCAGCATGAGCGTTCCACGGGGTTCAGCCCAACCGCCCAACCCGCCACCCTCATGTGGACACAAAAGTCCAGGAGGCCGAGAAGCTTAGCGCCTCACGGGTCCGATTGCAGCCCTGGTCATGATGGCCACCGCGCCGATCACGGATCGATCATGCATTCAAGCTCGGACGATCGCGCAATCAAGCCGAACCGATCATGCGATCGGGGATTACGTGATCCGCCGATCACTGAGATCTGTGAGCGCCGATCGCGTGATCAGAAGACATTTGGCCCAGGAGGGAGAGGCGAAAACCCAACAGGCATCCCCACGCCAATCTGTGCTATCTGCCAAGCTGCCGTCCCTGTGGCGATCTCGGGCACGACGCGGCACCCTGATGAGCTGATGCGGATCGGAAGCGGGCCGCACAGAGGGGAAGGGCCCTGGGCGGGGCTTGGCGTTGCGGAGAGGGCCCCGGCAGGGGAAGGGCCGCGGAGAGGGGAAGGGCCGCGGGGGGAGGGCAGCGGAAGCGGGCCGCGGAAAGGGGAAGGGCCGCGGGGGGCGATACATGGGGTGGGGAGGGAAACGTGCACCTTTCGGGCCCCTGTTTGGGCACCAAAGGTGTGCCATTCTTCACCACTGGCTGATGTTCGCCGCGCGGCCGCGCTGCCGCGCTGAACGGGGCGGCGGAGGGGCTGCGCGCCGCCGGCCGCTGCTGCCGCCACCAGCCGCCTTTCCCCCTCGCCTTCCTCGTCGTGGTCGACCCTTCACTTTGCCGCTGGGCCCCTTCTCGATGTTAGAGAAAGTGCCTTTTCTTCACCGCCCAATTTTTCGCCCACCCCACACCTACGTAACGCCCCTGGAGGGGAAGGGGACGGCGGTTCCAGGGCGAGGCGGCCTCCACTTGGCGCCGGCGTGCGCGGCGGACTCCTCCTGCCAGCAGCGACGGTCGTCGTCGTCGTCGCCGGCTCCGCAGCCGCCGCCGCCGCCGCCGCCGCCGCCGTCGTCGTCGCCGCCGTCGTCGTCGTCTACGTCGTCGTCGTTGTCGTCGTCTTCGTCAACGTCCTTCGTCGTTGCCTTCGGCAACATCAGCTTCTTTCTGTGTTGTCGTCGTCGCTGGCCTCGTCGCCGTCGCCGTCGCCATCGCCATCGCCATCGCCGTCGTCGTCGTCGTCGTCGATGTGGGTGTCGCCGTCGAGGGGATCATGGAAGGAGAACTTCGGATCCAGCAACTGGCGGCGGACTGGGAAGTGACCAAGGTTTGGTTGCAGCTTTTTAACATGGCATAAATAATCTTGAGAAAGAGGTCGGCTCCCTGAAACTGACGCTCCCGCTACATATTCCAGGAGTCCTGGGGCTTCCGTAAATCGGACTAGGAAGAGCAATTTTGGACGAAACGCAGCCCTGAACTCCGACAGACCCCCACATACAATAGCAAACCTAAGCTGGCGGCGAACAAGGATTCCTAAGGATCTGCGCCAGACCCCGAACATTCCCTACGGGGATTCAAAAAAAAAATCTGAACCAGATCCTTACACATTTCCCAGGCTCCCAGGGCTCCCTGACAAAATCTCGATACGGATCTGAACCATATCCCTAGAATGTCCTAGGCATTCCTACGGATCTGAGACAGATCCCTAACATTCCCTAGGCATTCCTACAGATCGGAGCCAGATCCCTAGCATTCCCTAGGTATTCCTGGGGATCTCCGCGGAGAGGCCCGGCGCCCGCGGCCGGGCCCGGAAAGGAATCCCGTCGGGGCCAGGTGCGGTGATCTTGGCGTTCAGGATGGCGCAGCGCATGTGCTATTTCTCCAGCTTGAACGCGCCGCGAAGGAAGGGCTGCGACTCGCTGGCTTGTCTGTTGCCCAGATCTGCATCCAACCATCTCTCCAGGGGCGCTTCGTCGACCCCCTTGGCCGCGACGATTTTGGACCGGTGCGAACGGAGAGCGGGGGCCACCGTGTCCGGGGCAACCTGAATATCCCCGCTGGCGCTCTGGACAACGCCGATGCTACAGGAACGACCTGGGGTGGTCCTGTCAATGCGCCTCGCGTTCCTCTGTTTGGCTTGCGCGGCGCGCCGGGCGCTCCCAGGGAGCACGCCCTTGTAGGACTGGCCCAACTCGTCGAGGGCATGGTCGCGAGCCAATTGAACTGCGCGGCCCCTGGCAGGACGCGGGCGGCAAGAGTTATTCTGGTAGCGGGCGCGGGAGTTCCTCGCGATGTCCGCGCGATGCGGGCGCCGCGGCAGGCAATCGGAGACGATGTTCACGAAGCCGCCCTCCGCCGCGCGAGCGAACATGAGGGCGATGCCGATCCTGTCCTCGAAGCTGGGCGCCGGCGCAGGCGCCCGTAACTCCTTGTCGACGTTGGCCGCAACGGTATTTCATGCAGTGCTTGTAGCGCTGCAGCTTTCGGAGGGCGCTGGGGCTGTCAAGGCCAGCGACCGACTCGCGGTATTTGAGCGCCAAGCAACGCGGAAAGTCATGGCGTGAGATGGCCCTGCGCGACGACCCTCTCTCCTCCCACGATAGTTTCTGCGGGGCCTAAGGGGGGGGGGGGGGGGGGGGGGGGGGGGGGGGGAACTGCCCGGCGATGCGAAAGTTCCCGCTGCCATTCGGGCGCCGAGGGTCGGAGATGCCGATCGCGTTGCTCGGCAACATGTCGATTGAAATAGATGCGGTCGAGGCGGGCCCGCGATTTGCAGGATGCGCGCGTGCACTCGCCCTGGCACATGTTTTCGAGTCTGAACCTCGCACCGAAGACCTCCTGGAAATGCTTTTCTTCGCCCCGGCCCTTGCGGCCCGCGGCCTGCGCCGACGTCGAGGGCGCCCGGTCAGACTCGGCGGCGAAGTATTTGAAGCCCCCGCCAAATAACGTGAGCGAGTCGCCCTGCTTCGACAGCTTCCCCGCAATCCGAGAGCGAAGGGGGCGACGCAGTTCAGGGAAGGAGGTGACGGAGGCATCATATACTCTGGGACGTCATGCACATCGTACTCCGAGAGCGTTCTCGACGAACCTGCATGGATGCGCCCCACCGCCAGGCCCAATGCGCCGGAGGGGCCGCGGAGGCGGATAATTGCAGCGCGGCCGCGCCAGACGTGGACAAATGCTGGGTTCGGCTCGAACTGCTGGAGGAGGGTGTTCTTGATGATGAGGCCGACTCCCGCATGTTCCGGCGTCGGCCCCTGCGACCACCGCGCTGCGGTGTTTGGTGGCCGATGCCATGTGGAGTTGGAGATCTCCGAACCGCGAGCCTCCGCGATCATGACGACGTCCGCCTGGCACATGAGCTTGCGCACATGTGCGCTTCTAGCCGCGCGCCGGAAAGGGTCCACGGCGAAGAGGGCCTGCGCGTTCCACGTCGCCGAGATCTCGCCTGTGAATTGGCCAGCTAGGCGTCTGGCCGCAGGGGGTTGCGCCTCCGGCGGAGCTCGGGTCAGCGGCGACGGGGTCGCGTTGGGGCTGATAGCGCCGAGCGCTCGGAGGAGCCGCCGGCGTCGAATAACGCAGGCAGGGGCGTCCACGGCAGACATGTTCGCACTCATTGGTGGCCAGCGGCGGGAGGAGAGGCATCGAGCGATCGTCGTAAATTACGGCCCCGCGGAAGGGGGAGCGAGAACGAAGCGCAGAAGAATAACAATTCAGAATACGTCGGAGAGAGGCTACATGGCGAAGCCGGCAAGTGGCCCAAGCAGCTCGACGAAGCAGAAGCATCGCGGAGACGAAAGACGACCCTCGCGGCATAGCCTGAGAAGCCCGTGCAATCGGTAAAACAAATTCCGAACTCGCAGCTGGGCTGCGAAGGATGTCCAGGCTGATCCAGGGCACGGCGGACACCTAGTTCCGCGCCCTCACGCCGTTTCCCAGTCCTTGCGTGGTCAGCATCAAATCGTTCTTCACCTCGATGCCGACCAAGTCCGGGCCCACCTGGATCGCCTGGCCGTGGGGCGCCGCGTGCAACTTGCGGATGTCCTCCGAGGTCGTGCCCAGTACCTTGATCACGCCGGCGGGCGCATGCGCCTCCCGCGAAACCAGGTGGACATGCCCCCCTGCTCTGGGCGCGCCGGGTTTGATCGCTTCAGTAAAGTGAGGGCCAGTGGATGCGCAAGCGTGGTCCATCAAGAGCTTCAAAACGACGGAATCCTCCTTGCCCACCTCGCCCTTTGCGACGATCTCGGCGATCTGCTCGGAGAGGGGGTTGGCCCTGTTGCCTCGGCGCTTGGCTGCATTGAGCAAGGTGGCGGTCGCAGACGGAACTGCCTCCGCGCGGCCTTCGTTGCGCGACGGCTTCCACTTGAGTCGACTGGCCGCGCTCAACTGGTCGGCCCGGTACACCGAGTCCATAACCTCCGTCCAGGTGTCGGTGGAGGTCGCCGTGACGATCAAGTAGCGCTTGGAGTCCAGCGCGAGCATCTGCGAGCAGAGGGGCCAAAAGTGGCGCGCTGAGCCAGCTCCGCTGCACTCCAAGATCATCGCGTCCAAAGCGATCATCAAAGCTTTGCTGCCGAAAAAAATGTCGTTGGGAAGCTGCCTCCGGAGGCTCTGAAGGAGCATTGCTTGGTCCAGTGAAGTGGCCGAGGCTGGAAGGATGACATCAATGGCGACTCGGGGCGACGCTGTCAAGCTAATGAGGCTCTGGCGGTGATGTCGGAAGCACGCGCCCCGCAGGCCGTCCGTGCAGGCGAGCGCAAGGAAGTGCGGAAGCAGGTCGACGTGCATGTCGAACGTGAAGGCGTCGTAGTCGGGGAGAGTGAAGAACGCGGCGAGGCTGATCATCCCAGGGATGGTCCTGGGCATCACGCGCGAGAGCGTGAAGATTACAATGCCCATGGACTCGTGCCTGGGGGCGCCGACGGCACTAGACGACACCATTTCGAACGGGAACGATGCGAAAGCGACCCCGCGAACAATGGGTATCCACCGCTCGGACAGAAGCGGCGGGAAGTTCCAAATTTCAGTGATTTTGTTCACTGAGGCCATGCCCTTCTCGCGCGGGAAAGTGGCGACGACCTGGAGCAAAGCGGCTGTTGTTCTTGCGAGGCGCGGCGCAAGATGGAAGCAAAACAGCGGGTGATCGCATTCGAGTCCTTTGGGGCCCAAATGATAATGTGCCTGCCTTTCACAAGGTCCCACATGCGGTCGTCCCCTTTCTCGGAGGGCGTGGCGAAGGCACGCGCAAGCGGCAGGGTCGCTTCTGGGTCAGGGTGGCCTGCAACAAGGTGGACCACTGCACGAGGGGAAGCATATCTGGAGAAGTCGAAGTGCGCCTCAAAAGCTCCAGTCCTTACCCGGCTCCTTCCATCTCTGAAGTTTTGGGGCCTTGAGGCGGCGGCGCTCGGCAACGACCTCCGCCAGCTCCCTCTCGCATGCCGTGGCTGCGCGAGCGATCTTGCCGAGCCCATCTTGCGCCTGCTGCTGATCCGGGCCGCTCCACTCCGCGTGCGAGGCCAGGGACAATACATCGCGTGCCGCCCGTTCGCGAGCAGCCAGGCCGATCGCAGTACGGTCACGTCCGTCCACTTTGGCGAGCCCCAGCACCTCCCAGGGGTCATCAGCGTCGAGGTGTTAGCCCAGGCGCGTCAGGATGACGAGCAGGTCGTCACAGCAGGCGGGGTACTTGAACGGCTGCGCGGCCAGCGCAGGGTCGGCGTCGAGGTTCGCCTGCACCAGTTCGAAGTGCTGGAGAATCTCATAGTCGAACCACTCCGTCAACAATTTCGCGAGGATCTCGGTGGCGCGGCCCTGGTGAAGTGGCGGGGCGGCAGCAGCAAGACCGTTCTGGGTCAGCCCGGCGTCGGCGGGAGCGCGCACACCTGCAGGGCGGCCAAATCCTGCGTGGCGCCAGTCTCGTCGGCCGTGGTGCCCACGCCCGCCAGCGCCTGCGAGGGGCGCTCGAGTCCCGGCGTGCCCATGATCGCGGGGGTAGCCACGGCGATCAGGAGTGGAGATCTGGAGGTGGACAGCTGGAGCAGAGAATGTAGGGAGGGACAGCGGCGAGCCCTTGAGCCACACTGGTGAGGAGGGCATCGCTCATACAGATCGATCCGCAGTATAGGCACTGCGGATCGGTCTGTATGAGCGATGCGACGGCGCCGACGCGCCTCAAAGTAAGCGACGACGGCGATAGATCGATCAGCGAGCGATTGCGCCACTTTCCAGGCCGACCAAACGCAAGGCAACCGCATTCCGCTTGGAATTCTACATCGGCGCTACGAAAGTGTTTGGCCGCTTCGTGCTTCCACCACAACAAGTCGTAGGCGGGAGCGCCATTGCGAATTCGAGCTGAAGTGCCGACCTCAAATTTGGAAGACTTCCGGGGTGGGAGCACCATATCGAAATCGAACCAGGAGGGTGTAGAACAACTATTTTCAAGAAGTCCAGGGCGGTAGCGCCATTTCGAAATTGAGCCCGGAAGGTTTCGACCTCTGTTTCGGAGGAAGTCCTGGACGCGGGCGCCATGTCGATATCGAGCCAGAAGGGTTTCGAATTCCATTGAGGAAATGTTGGGCGGGAGCGCCATGTCGAGATCGCACCCGAAAGTTTCGACATCATTTGAAAATCTTTTGTTAGAGGACTTCTCAAGCGAAACCGTCGTTTCGAAATGGCCATACCGCTGGGCATTTCAATCATATAAATTCGGGCGGAGAATTTCGACCATGTGCTTTTCGCTGCAGACTTCCTCCAGAAAACGATTTCGGCTGGATTTCAAAACCATCTGATTCGAATTCGAAAGGGCGGTTCCGCCCGAGACTTGGTCACGACAATGCTTGAACAGAACATTGTTCTGGGGCCCGCGGCCTCACGGGCACCTTTGACGTCTTCTCTCTTATCGTTGGTGCAACACCACTGACGACTTTGTACCTGGGCCCCGTCGCCTGACGGGAGGGGCTGCAATTGGGCTGAATTGTCGTAGCAGCGAAGTGTGCTCAGCCATGCAATGCTGTCTTGGTCGTGGTGCTCGCAGCAGGATCTCAACATTGCATGGCAATGCACAGACGCATTCTGCACAGGCCGTGCGCTGGCTTGGTTCCCTGGGCTTTCGCCCACTGCCCGTCTCGTGCCCGACTCGCGTTTCAGTATGCCACACAGCTTGAACAAAATAGATTGCATACAATGGGTAGCACTCCATGGCTTGCATGCCGTCGCTGGCACCGCCCAGCTTGCACGTCACAACTTGCACTACGTGGATTACATCACGTAAAGATCTCACAACAATCGAACATCGGGCCCTGACGAACCCAAACTTCAACGCCCTCATCCTCCTCCTCTTCCTCCTCTTCTTCCTCCTCCTCATCCTCTCCTTCACCTGATAATCATCTTGCGAACAACAATCTTAGTGTGACCTGGCCCTCACTGCTCATAAACGGCTCACGATCACCTAACCTGTGAGCTCGCAGAGACAGCGCTGGGATCCAAGGATCGTGGCTTCCACGGCGATCCACTTGCCTAGAGGCAGCCTAGACGGGGTCCGAGTAGATGGGGTCGGAGGATTGTGCCGCATCGCCGACACATCGGCGATACATCGCCGATGCACTGACGATGCCTCGGCGACGTCGGCGATGCATCGGCGCCGTTGGCGTGGAGAAAATCGGGCTCCACATCGACAAGCAACGCCGATGTATCGCTGATGCGGCAGCACCCTCCGACCCCATTCACAGTCGTGCTGCTGAAATAAGGAAGACTCAATCAGGAACGAAGCCGCTTGTTGGCCCCAAGAGCGCCTGCGTGCACGAGGAAGGCTGGCTCGATGAGCAGACATGAAAGGCCCTAGGGAACATCGAGTCCCTACCGAACCCAAACTGGTCCTTCCCGTGCTGTCTTGACGCTTCCCCGGCTCCATCTGAGAGGCCTGGATTGCCTCCCCCTCCCCCCCTAAGACGAAGCCAAGACGAGGATAACATCGGGTGAGGGCAATTCGTAAATCGAGATGTCTCGGACGCCGCGGCCTTCTCAGAGCGTTCCAGAATGCTCTGACAGAGTTCCGGAACGCTCTGGAACGGTCCTCGTCCTAGCCCCGTCCGACCCCCACCCCAGGCAAGCAAGGGAGAGGCCGCCGCCTCCGTGCAGGGCACCTGCCTGATCGCCTGGATGGCCTCCGCGATCCTGGGCGGCTCGCGCGCGGGCCGCAAGGGTCGAAGAAGGCGGCGCCTGCGGCTCGGGCCCTCCGCGCCGCGCGGAATCCCGGGGCCTCCAGAGGACCTCCAGCGGAGTCTTGTTGTCTTGTTTGCGCTTCGGGGCGGTCCTGGTCTCGCGTCTCTCGCCATCGCTCAGACGTCCGCTCCCGTGCATGTTTCGGTTTCGTGCGCTCGTCTTTCGCAAGATGAGCCAGGATGCTGCTGGATGCTCCTCGCCGAGAAAAAATGCACACGTCCGAGCGATGCCAAGCTCTTCGTCTTTCCCGCGTCCCACTCCACTTGTGCCTCAATTCGATCCCGGCATGTCCCGCCCGTAGCCCGACTGGCACCTGCACCAGCTTCGACTCGCTTGCGCCCACTGGCTCAAACAAGTTTCAGAGCGGTCGCTCAACTTGCCTGCCGTTGTGCATCGTCCTCGGTGCCTCAGGCCGCCTGCGCACCACTCACTGGCCGACTCTTGGTGTCTGGGCCCTTCCCGCTTCCTCCTCCGCGGCCGCCCGCTTCTCTGCCGCCTGCTCCCGCGCCTCGTGCCCAGCGCGCCCCGCCAAAGCGAGCACCCGCGCCCACGGCCGCTGGCGCTGCCTGCCTCGAGCAAGCTCTGGGGCGGTCAGCATCTCCCCGCTCGTGCGGCTTCCAGGGCCCGTCCGCGGGCTCCGGGGCCACCAGGCGTGGATCCTCCACAAGAAGGGCTCGGGCCCTGCGCGGCCCGAGGATCGAACAAACACAAAAAGTACGAGGTTCGGGTTTTGCCCGTCACAATCGGGGGCCAAGGACTCCGCAACGTTTCTGGAGCAATACCGTGGAACACCACAGGCGGCACATCCCGCTTGTGGGGCGATTCTTGACTTTTGCCCATCCCACCAACCACCACCATGAAGACTTGACCAACAGCTCGCCTTTGAGCGTCACCCAGATCCTGTTTTTGAACTTCCCGCTGCCTGGTGCGACTCAGCGCTTGCAGGGGAGCCTTGAGCTTGCAGTTGACGCAGGATCTCGAGGTCAAGCTCAGCGCAGATCAACTTCTCATCAGCCCTGTTTTCTCCTTCCTCCTCCTCCTCCTTCTCAGAATCAGCATCTTCATCAGCATAGTTTCCTCCTCCTTATTGTCAGCAGCATCAACCTCATCATGTTGTAGCATCCTCTTCATCCTCCTCCCTCCTTCTCATGATCCTTCTTCCTCTTCCGTCTGCTTATCCTCTTCCTCCGACTTCTTGCTTCCTCATCCATCTTCTCCCCTCCACCTCCTCCTACTCCTCTTACACCCTCCTCCCCCGCCTCTTTCTTCGGCATCCTTCCTCCTCCTCCCTCACCCTCCTCCGGCGTCCTCGTCTGATGTCGCTAGCCCCCTCCCGTCCCCCCTACCGCCTGCCAACAAGATTTGGGGAAAGATCATGGGTAGGGGGACGGAAAGTAGGAGGCGGATGAGGAGGACGACGATCAGAGCAAACCCAAGATGCGTCAAGAATGCTGTAATAATCCTCCCGCCCAATATCCTCTCCTCATACTCTATTACGCGAGGCCGTTGCCACGTCCTCCATGGCATACCCTCGGAGGCGGGACCGCGTAACAAATGGAATATGTAACGGTCTGGCCAATGTAGCCGCTCGTCCAATACATGCAGCTTTGTTTTCAAGAGCTATGTTCGCGCTTCGCGCTGCGCGAAGCCCGGTGCGCGAATAACTTCGCGCTCTCGCGACGACCCCCACGCCCCTGGGGGGAAGAGGAGGACAAACACGAACCGCGAAAAACGTCGCGCCCTCGTGGCGGCCCTTGTGTTCCACGCGTGGCACCCCTGAAACCGACCTTGACAGCGGCCCTGTCGCCACACGAAGGCCACCAGAGGGCGCCGCGCCAGACCGGCACAGGCGCGAATGCTCGGTGTCCGTCGTGGCGCCCCGCCGAGCACTTGCGTGATCGCGAAGAAGAATGCTCCCCACGTGGGATGCGAGGAAGGAGAAACAAGCATACACGTCGTTCATTTCTAGCCAAGCTCATTTCTAATTGTGCTCGTTTCTAATTGTTCCTAGCCCCCTAGTGGCCAGGAAGAGCCCCAGGATAGAACAACTAGAAATGACAGGATCTTGGCCCCCCAAAAAAATCAAAGAACTTTCGAATAATTAGAAATGAACAATGCATACACACAAGTTTCCGGAAGTCCGCGCGGAAGTCCCGAATCGGTGCTCGGACCCCCTGGCGGCGCCTTTTGGCGCGCCGTCTTTCGCGCGCGCCGCGCGCCAGAGCAGGGGGGTCCAGCGCCGATCCAAGACATCCGCGCGGACCTCTGACAGTCTATACTTGTGCAAGTCTGGATTGCTCGAGAGACGTGATGCTGTGCTCCACACGCTCTTCCATCCAGCTTCGGATGCCGCGCAGCGTCTCGGGCGCGTCACACTCGTTCGGCCGCCGCTGCGCCCGTGAAGGCTCCAGTGCAGATGGTAGCCCTGGCCGCCACGTGTTGGACTGCTGGACTTGCAACCTCCTCCGCGCAGCACCCAGAAGTCGCCTGCGGAAGCCGACCTGCACCCAGCTCGGCGCCAACTCTTGCTGGGGGCAACATCGGCCAGGACATACGAGCCATCTTGATTCGTGGAGTTTGCCAGGGCTCGAACGTCCTGTCAAAGCGGCGGTCTTCGAGCGGGGGTGGCCCGCGCTGCCACAGACCGGGAGAAACCACAAAGTATCGATACTGCTTCTCCCCGGAGCTCTCCCGGGCTGCGCTCTGATCAGAATTTCAAGGCAAATCCAGCGGCGGCGAAGAGGGGGGCACAACAGGGCGAAAACGAGGCCAGGGTATCAGTATCAGTAGCTCTTCCTCCCCTGAAAACGCATTCGATTGCGATGGCAAAACTCTCTGATGGGGAAAACAAAAGCTTTGTGCCGTCGAAAGCTCGAGTCCTCTCGTCGACGGGAGACAAAAGAGGTCGGAGGACAATGCTACCATTTGCACCGCTCCCGTGTCTCACGATAAGGGCCCGCCCCTGGCATTTCGAGGGTGCTGTGATCCCCCGATGCTAAAGCAAGGGTAATGAAGCCGATAAGAGGCAACTACGTGGAGGACAGTGCAACTGTTTTTGTCGCTCCAATGTCTCACGATAAAGGCCCGAATCTGTTTTTTCGAGGGTGCCGTGATCCTCCTGATGCTGAAACAGAAGCAATGAAAGTTGTACTTGCCCCCACCCCTCTCGCAACAGAAGACACGCCCTCCGAGACCCTGCGGAGACTTCCTTTTCCGAAGCTCGGCGAAGCAAGGTTCAGAGGCGTCGACAACCAAGTCTACGAATCTATATATATATATATGCATATATATATATATATATATATATATATATATATATAGAACAGAGCAACACAACAATCTAGCTTCCAAGAAAATGCCTGCCCTAAGCCTACGATCTGGTTGGGTCGGCGGACAAGCATGTCTGTTTCGAGCCCCCATCTCACATGCAGGCATCGTTTACATGTGTTTCTGCGGGGCTTGGAACTTTCACTTACCCACTGGGCGTTGCGAACGCAGAGGAAGACCCGCACAGCAAGCCGATCACAAAACATTGTTACGAACGGAAGCTGGGCCCTCGGTGGCCTGCTCCACCCAGAAGAGGTTGGCGTTGTCGACGTGCAGGGCCCAAGCAGCCCAAGGAACCCTGGCATTCAGCATTCAACGTACCGCAAAACCGCAGCTGCATATCGGTGGGTAATTTTCCAAGCCAGATCGATACTGTACGAAGCTGCAGTCGTGCCGTTTCTAACGGCGCCAGGGTGTGAGGGAAGACAAGTTGCACGCGCCCTGGCCGCCTACGGCCGTCGCCAAACAAGTGCCGCATCTTCATCTGGGAGAACCTGGCAGCGGGGCGACTCGGAGGCTGCGGAGCAGGCGACCCGAGCGGCCACCTCGATGGTGAGGTGGACGAGGTGAAGGATGAGAAAGAAAGGGGAGGAGGAGGAGGAGGAGGAGGAGGAGGAAGAGGGCAAGGAAGAGGAGGAGAAGGATGAGAAGGTCGAGGAGGAGGAGGAGGAGGAGGAGGAGGGAACTGAGGGAGGCGACAGCGGATGAGGAGAGGAGGGCTTCCTGCAGGAATTCTCAACTCCGCTTGGGGAGCCCCCCCTCCCCACCACCATCAACCTTGTCCAACAATCACCTTACCACGAACCCCCTCAACTCAAAAACCCCCGCCCATCAAACCCGCACCGTCACACCCTTCCACGCTGCAACCTACCACCATCACGCCTGCAAAGTCACGCCCGTCCACTCAGCACCTCCTGCACCATCACCACGCATCGTTGTGGCTACCTCTGAATATAACACACAGCACGCACACACACACACACACACACTTCGTGGCGTTGCCACCACGCGCGCGGCGACGCGGCGTGGACAGTCGAACACACGCACGCACACACACACACACACACGAACACACACACACACACACATAAACATACACACACACACGCTCACAAGCGAACACACTCATTTTTGTTGCTCGACACGCGCCCGCGCGGGAGGTCAGCGGGACTGAAGCAGCGGCGGACAACGAGAGCTAAAGAAAGCGCGGAGCCAACGGCACGCGAGCACACACACACAAACGCATACACACACTATTACCTCCTCCGCTGTGCCACCGCCTCCCTCCTGCTCCGCCTCCCTTCCCCCTTGGACATCGAGGGTTGGGGGTGTGAGAGATTATGTGATGAAGACCCCTCTCGCAAGAACATCGAGGATTCAGACCCCTCGTATCACGTGTCATTCGTATCTCGTGTCATGTGCGAAATGCATTCGAAGCTGCTGTTCGCGAGAGCAAGGGCTTTCTGGTCTGGAGGAATCTGCTTGCCCTGCTGCTGTTGCGTTTCCTGCTGCCTGTCGGCGGACGGCGGGGCGAGGTGAGACGGCGTGGTGGTGTCGTGGCATCGCGGTCGCGAGAGTGTCAAGGTGTTACAGCATTACGGTGTCGGCGTGCTGCGCCGCAGTGTCACAACGTGGAACAGGGCGGGGCGTCGCGATGTCGCCATGTCATGAGCCCACGTGTTTTGAGGAGTTTCGCATCTACTGCCACTGTGGCAGATGACTGCTCTGTAGATACAGAAATTCGCGCGGGCTAAGGCAATGAACAACGATTGAGGGGCGAATGTGTAGCCACTTGCAGGTCACACTCCGGCGCGCTCCCTCACACGAGTCGTCCTCCACAAAGAGCTCCATAAACGGCCCCAACGACACAATCCGCGTGCCGCCACCCCGCCGGTGTCGGCACACACACAGAGTCCGCACGCCCATCTCGGCATACCCGTAACACGTGCCGCGCCCCAGCGTGAGCTCCGCCTGCGGCCCCAGCGACACTCGGCATGCCGCCCCTCGCTGCTTCCGACACTCCCCTCACAGACGTCGTGCCCCACAAAGAGCTCCACCTGACTACGGCCCCGAAGAAACAGTCCGCATGCCGCGCTCCAGCCCATGTCGGCACACCCCTCGCACGCGCCTCGGCCTCAGCAGCACCATCCGCACACCGCCACCCTGCCGATTTCGGCATGCACCTCGCATGCTCCGTGCCCCGGAGTGAGTTCACCTGGGGCCTCACAGACACAGTCCGTATGCCGTCCCTCGCCCAGTTCGTCACGCCCATCACACATCTCATGCCCAACAGGGAGCTCCACCTGTTCCCTCGGAAGGAGAGTTCGCATGCCGCCCCCCGCCCACTTCGGCGCACCGTTTCCGTGCATCGTACTCCGCGAGGAACTCCACACATGGCAACTGTGTGCAAATTGGCATGGCGTCCCACCGCCCATTTCGGCGTGCCCCTCATGCGGATCGTGCCCAGCAGAGAGCTCGACCTACGTACGGCCTCGGTGGGCGCATGCATGTGGGTAACCCACCACTTCGGCATCCCGCCCACGCGGATCGTACCCCATAGGAGTATGTGCGCCTGCTCCGTAGGTCCCCGTTCGCACTGCCCCCCGGCTCGCAGTATAGGAAGAAAGGTGCTCGCCATGACACAAGCAGCTTGACAGCGCTGGGCCCTTCGCAGTTGCTTTGTGCTGCGTTACGTTGCTTTGTGTTTCGTCGCATTGCAGTGCACTCACAGCGTTGATTCTCGTCGCGTTGCAGTGCGGTGGCTTTGTGCAGCGTGTCACTGCCACATGTTGCTTTGCAATTGCGCTGCGCTGCGTTGCCCCGCAGTGATCGCACCGCACATGTATAATTACACATGTACACATGTGTGCGCATACATCGCAGAACCTGCGTCTAGACATAGCGACTGCGCTGCATCTATTGCACCCCATGCTTCGAATGCCAATTATGTCACCAGACTGGTTCCACCGCGTACGATGTACAACATAATCAAGTAGCATCGCATCGTGCAAGAATTCACGGATTGGGGTCCACGGTGACATGGTGTACGTCTACGTATGGGCCAAGAGAGCGTGAACGAAAACAAACATGCGGGTCGCAGGTGCAACCACTCATGGTGCATCATCCTGTGGTACCGCATTCGCATGACCCGGGTGGACTATCGTTGGCAACTAGCTTCACCCTTCTGAGATTCCTCTTCCCCCTTCGCGTCCTCCGCTTTCTGCTCCTGCTGCTGTCCCCGCTCATCTTTGTCATCTCAAGCGTCGTTCGTATCCTCATCCTGTCATCGTCATGCTCTGTCTTCCTCGTCCTGACTGTGCGCCCGATCCCCCTCCCTGCACCGTCTAAGTCACTCGTCTGATTCCTCACCCCATCCTCAGTCCCCAACCCCGTCTCCCTCTCCCCGTAACGTGTCGCCTCCTGCTGCAACTTATCCTCACTCGCCTCCGTCTGCCTCCCACCCTCTCCCTCGCCCTAAGCCGTCCTCACCCCCCGAGCTCATCATGTCTCCTCCTTGCTCGCTGGCGCAGGCCTGATATCCATTGGCGAGAGCAGGCCTAAGGACGCCGTCAGCCGCGGGCATGAGTCTGCGATGGGCGCGGAAGTGGTACCTGCGGGGGCGAGGCTGTGTTTGTTGATGGATCAGAATGTTAGCCAGCGTGTATCACATACAGTGATTGTGTAAAAACCATGCGGTGGAGTCTAGGTGGCGCAATCAATGTGGTGCAACGTAGGTGGTGCAACATATGTGTTGCAATCCACGTGGCATACAGCAACGCATTGCAATGCAATGCAATGCAAAGCAACGCAATGCAAAACCATTGAAAGTACTGCACATCAATGCCGAACTATGCAAAGCCATGCAAGCAACGGACTGCAAATCTATGCAAAGGAATGCAAAGCACTGGAAAGCGGTGCAAATCAATTCAAAATAATGCAAAGCACTGCGAATGCAAAGCAATCCAAAGCAAAGCAATGCGATACACCACGATGCAAAGCACTGCGACGCAATGCATAGCACAATGCAAATCAACGCAATGCAAAGCGATTGCAAAGCGATTGCAATGCGACTGCACTGCGATTGCAAAACGATTGTACTGCGATTGCACTTCGATTGCAATGATATTATACGACGCACAGCAATGCAAGGCAACGCAAACCAATGCGAATACATGTAAAGCAGTGTCATGCGATGCCAAGCCATGCAAAGCGACGCAGAGCAAGGCAACGTGACATCAATGAGAAACAGTCCAGCGACGACGGCGGCGACTGGTGGCGACGAGCCGGTCGGAGCGCCACTGGGGTTAGGTCGGGCATGTCCCCCTACAGGGAGATTTTGGACGAAAAACAAAAAAAAGAAACAATGCTCCAAAATTGTCAGAAATAGTCAAAAATCGTCCCCATATTATTTTTGAACTATTTTCGAATAGTCCTCCCGTAGATGGACAAGCCCGACTTAACACTGGGGCTCAAATGCCAGCGTCGACGGCGGCGGCGACCGGCGGCGACGGGCGGCCATAAGCCGGCCAGGCCGCCCTTGAGGCTCATTTGCCAGCGACGGCGGCGGCGGCGACGGGCGGCCAGACCGCCTCTGGAGCTCAGTTACTTTGGAAGAGAAAAAGGTCCCCAGGTGTAGGCACTGTTTGAGCAATGCATCGTAAAACAATGCAGAGCAATGCAAAGCAGCGCAAAGCGTTGCGAAGCAAGCAATGCAGCGCAGTGCATTGCAATTCGAAGCAGCAGAAAGCAATTGCACGTAACGCAACGCAGTGCAAAGCACTGCTCTGCACTGCAATGCCAAGCAGTGCGTTCGAAATGAAAGCAACGCAAAGCAGTGCGAAGCAATGGAAAACAATCCAAACCAATGCAACTCAATAAAGAGCAACGCCGGCCCAACGGGCCAGGGCGTGCTAAGATCTCCGGTAACTGGTTAACAGTATTAACAGTATTTCTAGTTCGCGCGCGCGGGGCGGCCCCTGGGGGTCCCCCGGCGAAAAGTACCCCGACCGCCGCCCGACCAAGTCTACTCAGAGATGGTTTTCCTTCTGGGTGCGGCCTCTCAGGCTCCCCAGAGCGCGCTCAGAGTGCCCCAAGAGGCCCCCAAGACTGCCCAAGAGGCCCCCGAGACGCCCAAAGAGCGCTCGAAGACGCCGAAGATGACCCCAAGACGGCCCAAAAGGCCCCCAAGACAGCCCAAGAGGCCTCCAAGACGCCCCAAGAGCCTTCCAAGAGGCCTCCGAAGAGAGCCCCAAGAGGCCAAAATCGTTGATTTTCATTGGTTTTTCCGATGTTTTTTGTGTTCTGGCTTTTTCGGCTTCCGGACGCTCCAAGACGGCCCAAGAGGCCCCCAAGACCGCTCCAAGACGGCCCACGAAGCTCCCAAGACGGCGCCGAAACGACCCAAGAGAGCCCTCAAGACGGCCCAAGTGCCGCCCAAGACGGACCAAGAGGCCCCAAGACGGGCCCAAGAGGGACTCAGGAGGGATACCGAGAACTCAAAAATGGAGCCCTCCGTCCCAGAAGGCGCCCAGGAGGTCCCAAAGAGGCCCCAAGAGGCCTCCAAGAGGCCCCAAGATGTCGCCAAGAGGCCCCAGGAGACTCCCAGGAGGCCCAAAAGAAGCCCCAGAAGGCTTCAAACATGTCTCCCAGGCGCCCCCGAACGGCCTCTCAACAGACCCCAAGAGGCCCCCCAAAGAAGCATCTTGACGACGACTCTATTTCGCCCCATCGAGAGACGACCCCCAGGGAACTGCTTCACCATCAAAACTCCCCACGCAACGCGTCCGAACGACACCCGCCCCCAAGAGCGCAACATGGGCAACGAACACACAGACAAAAACCAGCGATGCCATATCACGGGCCGGCGGAATGAGCGAAGCGATTCAATAAAGAGCAACGCAGAGAAACAATAATGCAAAGCAGTGCAAACCCATGAAGAGCAGTGCAAAGCAAAGCAAATAAAGCAATGCAGAGCAATGTAATGCAATGCAAAGTTGCGCAAAACAATGCGAAGCAACGCAAAGCAATCCAGAACGATGCAAAGCAATGCAAAACAATGCGGCGACGAGGCGGCGCGCGGTGACGACGCGGCGACGGGGCGGCGACGGCGGCCACACGACGGCCAGACCGCCGCCCAGGCCCAGACGGCGGGCGGCGACGACGCGGCGACGGGGCGGCGACGGCAACCACAGGGCGGCGGACACGACGCGCAGGCCCAGACGACGGGCGGCGACGAGCCGGCGACGGCGACCACAAAGCCGCCAGACCGGCTCGTAAGCTCAGACGACGGGCGACGACCAGGCGGCAACGGGGCGGCGACGGCGACCACATAGCCGCCAGACCGACGCAGGCCCAGTCCCGTAGAAAACGAATAAGAGCCCCTCGCTCACTGCTTGAAGGATCTACAGGGAGCGAGGAAGGAAGAGACCGATAGAGCGATACCCTTGTATTAAAAAATGGATACAGATGGGATCTCGGGGTGACAATGGGGAGCGCACGCGCACCAAGAACATGAGAAGGTGGGGCGGGATAACCGGGGAAGGACCGGTGGCGGGCAGAAGGCGGCGGATCAACCAAAGCTGCATCCATAAAGCTCGCTACAACTGACCCGTCGCCCGCCCTCAACCGAGGCTCCAGAGCGCACATCTGTGCCAGACGCTCGTGTTTCCTCTGCACTGTTCGTCGGCGTCGAAGGCCTCAAACGTAAGCAGCTGGTACCATATATTCTGCCCTCGCAGTCCGACACAAGATGCCGCATGATTAGCTTCTGGCCTCTTCTATCCCCGAACTCCAGTACGCACAATCCTCCACCGTCACAACTCGTTCCCCCCCTTGCCCCCATGTGTACGTATGTATACATGTGCAACATCTCGTTGTTACTCTTGTTCCAATGCTCTAAAGCGTGTGTCCACTCGACCGCCCCTTCTTTCTCTCTCTCTCTCTCCCTCGTTATGTCGCTTTCCTTCTCATGTTGCTTAACGCCCTCCTGTACGCATTCTCCTCCTTCTCCCTCCCTCGTCATCCATCTTCCCACCTCCCATTTACTTGCACCATCTCCCCCGCTTCCCCTGCACAAGTCCATTCCCTGTTTTCCCCCCTACGTCTTCCCCCTCTGTTTTCCCTCCACCTTTCCGATTGCAGCGGCTCCTCGCACTTCATCATGCGTCCCCCTCCTCCTCCCTAAGGCCCACGTCCCGTGCTTATTCCCTACCTAGGCTCTGCCTAGAAGGGTTCTTACTATGTTGGCTTAAAAGGGACTGGGCAGAGGGGCTCGCCCCGGGCGGTTCCCCTGGCATCCGCCCCGCGGTTCCCCCAGTTACGTCCCCTTAGCTTAGCGTTGCTTATCTCATCTTAGCTTAGCTTATTTCATACTAGCTTAGCTTAGCTTCATCTTAGCTCATGCTTATCTTAACTTAGCTTACCTTCATCTTAACTTCGCTGGGCTTTAGCATAGCAGAGTACAGCAGAGCAGAGCATAGCGTAGCATAGAGCAGGACAGCATATCATAGCATCGCCCAGCATAGCATAGCATAGCACAGCATAGCATAGCATAGCATAACACAGCATAGCGCAGCACAGCACAGCACAGCATAGCACAGCGCAGCATAGCATAGCATAGCAGAACATAACATAGCACAGCAGCCAAGCAAAGGCAAAGCAACAGCAGCGACAGCAAAGCAAAGCACAATCAATTCAAAGCAAAGCAAAGCAAAAACAAAAGCAAAGCAAAGGAAAGGCAAAGGAAAAGCAGTGTGGCTCCCAAGAGGCGTCCCAAGAGACCACCAGAAGACCAAAATCATGGATTCCCGATAGGAAACATACATTTTCGCCGTACACGGCTTTTCGGTTTTCACAGCGTTGACGACGGTCCAAAACGCCCCCAAGACCGCCTCAAGACGGCCCAAGAGGCTCCCAAGAGGCCCCCAAAAACGTCCCAAAAACGTCCCAAGACGGCCCAAGAGGTGCCCAAGATGGCCAAGTCGTGCGGTAATAGACCGGATACGGAGCATTCTCAAACACACCCGGTGAGCGAATGCGAAAACATGCGTGTGTGTGTGTGTGTGCGCAGGCAAAGCAATAACAGCATGAAGCAAAAGAAACAACACATTCAAAGCAACAACAACAACAACACCAACAACAACAACAACAACAATTACTAGCACGTGGGGACACTCCGTTCTCACCAGTGCCAGGGTTTTCATACGACGCCCGCCAATACCCCCACTTTGTGGGGGGGCCGGTTCAAGCTCTACCACATTTCCAAACGACTCTTCGCCACCACCCACACCCAGCTTCCCGCCCTATGACGTTCGGACACTTCACTTCGTGGCCTGCGGACGACCGTGGCTACTACACTGGCGCATGGGTACAGTGACTTGTTGTGGTAACATATTCTGGACGCTAGCTTAGTATACGACTTTTCCCCTGTTCCAACACTGGACACCTGTACTGGTTTTTGGTGGTAACGTGTTCCTGACGCTAGAAAAGGAAACCACGGTAAACCAGTACGACGCCGGTACTGTCTGTAGGTCCTACAATGAAGATTTCGGCGTGCGCGCGCGAAGAAAAAACGAATGTGTCCCGCATGGTATTATTTGACAGGGATGATGGCCCTGGCAGGTGCGCAACCGTTGTTGGAGAAGTTCGAAACACGTGAAAAAGTTGCTCGCAAGAGCCCGTTTGACAGAAATGTTGAAAAAGTATTGGGTTTCCTACAAATCCGCAAGAGCGCGCGGGATGAAATTTTGACACTTTGTTTTTATTATTGTTTTTTTCATATTTGTGCACTTTGTTTTTTTTTCTTTTTTTATTTTGTTTTATATTGTTTCCCCCGTTTTGCCTGAGACTTCCTCACGAAAATGATGAAAATGTGGCTGCGGCCTAGGCGCGGCGAGGGGGGCGTGCACCAGGGGGCCCAACAATAATTATTCTTTAGAAGTAATAATATTCAACAACAACAACAACAACAGCATAAGCAAAGGCAATGCAATGCAATGACATGCAAAAACAACACCAATGCGAAAGTGTAGATGTAGATGTAGATGTAGGTGTAGGTGTAGATGTAGATGTAGATGTAGGTGTAGATGTAGGTGTAGATGTAGATGTAGATGTGAGTCTCGCTGTTGATGTTGATGTGGATGTAGATGCAGGTGTAGATGTTGATGCAGCTGTCGTTTTAGATGTAGATGTTGCTTTCCTAGATGCTCCAACTCCTAGGTAGGGTCGCACTGGAATAATCCCCCAGGACCCCCCTCCGAAGCCTCCCCGGACCTTCGATGACTGTGCGGCGCGTGGACCCCTAATGGAGCTGCGGCTGTCTGCGCTCTATGCTACTCTGGCGCAGAAGCTCCCAATCTGGTCCGCCAGCCATCTGGTCTCTGGCCTCTGCTCTCTGTCTCTGCTCGGTACTCTCTGCTCTGTGCTCTCTACGGTCGAGCGCTTTTGCTTAGCGTGTCGCGGCGGCGGCACTGGCGACACGCTATACCTGGCGAGCGGATAGCGTGTCGCTCCGCTCCGCGGGGCGGGAGGCTCGGACAAGCTCGGGAAGTTGACGCCTGGGGACCGGGAAGTGGACAGCGTGTCGCACCGAAGCCTGCTGGGCCAGAACCGGCGGAGCGACACGGTAAGCCACAGCTCCTGACCGTCCTCTCTGCTCTGCGCTCTCCAGTCTCACTGCCCTCTGCTCCCCAACGTGTGGGAGTTTCTGTGTGCGCGACCCCACTGGTGCGAGCCAGTGGGCGGAGCCTTCGCGGCGGGACCCCGTGAGCGGACCGAACGAGCGGGACCCAGTGGGTGGGACCCCATGGGCTGGAGCCGGCGGGCGGAACCCCAAAGGGGGCGACACCTTGAGAGGGGGGTCCCTGCGGGTAGGACCCCCGCCGCGCCCCGCCCTCCGACACTCGCCGTGACGAGAACAACCTGGCTGGATGCCTTTCTGGTGCATCTTTGGGGCACCTTGTCTGTCCCATCGCGCCGCGACCCGCATCGAATCCATGCCGAACACTTGTCGAATCCGCGTCGAATCCATGTCGAAGCCGCGATGAATCCGAGTCGAGTGGGCGACGAATCCGCGCCGAACCCGCGTCGGGCACAAGAGGAAGACAACAACTTATTGGACAGACAAAGTCCCCTTCAGATGCACTGTACGGCAAGCATGTGTCGTAACGAACCAGGCGGTGGTTTCTGAAACCGCGTAGACCGTTCAGCAATACGTAGCGTGTCTCAACAGGTAGACTGAAAACGTAGGTCTGGCACGACACGTTCGCCAAACCGTGGACCAACACGTGCCGAACCAAAACGCAACGAACGTTTGGAACACGGTACGTGTTGCGTCTCGAGGCGGGCGTACCAGGGCAGCTTGGCCTGGGAACGATCGCATCGCCCGCGCTGGTGTCGCAGCCGCGTCGACACGACGTGAACCTGCCGTAAGCCAGGTGTCCCCCCCACCCTTGGCGACACCACCTCCGGGCGAACGGATATGTCGGCGGCAACAGGCACGGCGCGCCACGGCCGGGACTAGCCGGGGAAGGCGCGAAGGAGCAACGCGCGGAGAACCTCTGCAGAACGTCCGATGGCCCCAGGGAGCAATCGGGAATCAACTCCTCCCCCTCCCCCTCCGCCACTCCTCCTTTTACGCGTTGTTTGGCCAGACTCTGAGCGACGGAGCTCGCAGCGTTCGTCGTCCTTCTTCTCCTTCCTCTCCTCCTCTTCCTCCTCCCCTTCTTCCACCTCCTCCTCCTCCTCCTCCTCCTCAACCTCCTCCTCCTCCTCATCCCCCCCCTCTTCCTGGCTTCCTCCTCTTTGATTGGCTTATGGGGGCACATTCTGGACACGGCGCTGGCGTTCGGAGAGCGGCGAAAGCGAAGAACGCGATATGGTTGCTGGTCTCTCCCCTCCCCCGGATCCCAAATCTGCTGCCGCTGCTGCTGCTGCTCCTCCGCAGGGGACGCCGAGGCATCGCATCGTGAGAGCCACAGGCGGGAGACAGAAACAATACATGACTGATAATGAACATATTTTTTGCTGCGCCCGTGCTCCACCAATACCTGTCGTCGGATTCGTGATTTAGATTTATGAGAAAGAAAAAAGGCACGCGGAGGTCCAGCGACTAAACCGCAAAACTTAGCAAACTTTGATCGCCCTGCTCGAGGGCCCCCCTCTGGCCGCCCGCCGGGGGGTCGGCGAGGCGGCGCGAAGCGCGGCGCACCCTCCAGCTCGGGCGAGGAGCTCTCGGAGGAGCCGTCGTCACCTCAGCGACAACGGGGGGGAGGGGAGGGGATTGGAGGGGAGGGGAGGGGGGAGGAACGGGGGGAGGGGAGGGGAGCTCTCGGAGGAGCCGTCGTCACCTCAGCGAGAACGGGTGGAGTGGAAGGGGGGGAAGGGAGGCAGAGGAGGGAGGAGGAACGGAGGGGGAGGGAGATCTTGACGTGTTTGCAGTGTTTGGCTTTTCTAGGCCTCCTGAGGAGCCCTCATCGCCAGGGCCGGATCCGCCTCGAGGCCCTGATGGAGGAGGACGGATGGAGGATGGAAGATGGATGGGGCATGGAGGTTGGCTCGGGGGCGGAAAGGGCGCGGCCGACGCGGCCGCGCCCGCGCACGCGGTGGCTCGAGCCCCCCGCTTCGGGCGCCCGCCGGTCCAGGGCGCCGCCCCCCCCACTGGGGACGAGGTGCCACGCGGGGCTCTGGGCGGGCGATGCCTGGCCGCAAAGGTCGTCTTACAGAGGAGGGTGGAGGAGTGGGCCAGGAGCGAAGCGGGATGAGGGGAAGGGAAGGGACAGATCGCTTGACGGACGGCGGGAGCGTGTGTCGACACTTTGCGAGCGGGGCGCGGCCAGCGAATGCGGCCAAGGATGGGCCGAACGGGAAGGATGCAAGGGAAACCTTGGAAAGTCGCTCACCCTTACTATGCGGGTTGGCTGTGCGCTGTGCACCGCGTCCCTGAGGAGAGGAGGGGGGGCAGAGGGGAAGAAATATGATATATGAGGAGGAGAGGACAAAGGCTTCGATAGCGATGAGGACGCGCACTGCGGGAAGAGGAGGGCAATGAGGTGGTGGAGGACGGGTGCTGGTGGGTGGGACTCCTGCTCTTTGTTACGCTCGCAGCTCGTTGAGAGGCAACGGCTGGGTCTTCTGAGGCATCGCTCTGGTTATGCATTTTTGAAGCAAAAGCCCGAGCTTGTCTGCGTCACGGGGGGGTCATCGTCCATGGTTTCACCCTGCTGAGGGTGGGGGCGCTACATCATCCGTCCCTGAGCAAGCTCAGAGACGGCCCCGAAGCAGGACAGTGTAGCACACGGGCGGCACACGACAGCCTGAGAGCGACCAAATACAACTCAGCACGGCTACGAAACGGCCCTAAGACAACCCTCAGAGCCCGTGAGGATTGCCCGAAAGACTCTCCACCCGATGACCCTTCACAGCCAGACAGTACCAACGAAACGAACACGCAGAATGCTTGCTCACGCTGCCCAGCCTACTAAACCCAAAGCTGCATGGCAACCCTTGGGCACGCGGCGATTCTTGCAGTCCATCGAGACAAGCCTGGGGACTCCGAAGGCGACCTTCTGACAGTCCATTCGCCGATACCCCCAACCCCCTCGAAGACCACAGGACGGTAGACCAGCCAAAACCTGTCCCAAGTTCAGCCACTATCGGCCCACGGCCCATGACACCACAATGGTCGCAAGAGACCCCAGAGCGCCTCATGAATGCTCACAGGCCCCTCCCCAGACCTCTCCAATGGCCACAGGGGAGGAAGACTCTACCCATGTACCCAGTGACCCCCCATCCACCAACTCACCCACCCCTGCCTCTCACTTTCACCACAAACCCAGACAATCCCTTCTCCTCCTCCTCCTCCTCCTGTTCCTCCTCATCCTCCTTCGCATTACCTGTCTCATCCTCGCCTCCATCCTCATCGTCCCCTGCACCTCCCCATGACCCTCTTTGAATATCCAGGATCGTTATCGGACTGAGCCTCAACACTACCTGCATCTCCTGGTCATCTCCCGCTTGGATCGTATGACTGGCAACGTCGCTTAGGCAGACAAAGCTTGCGCTCGTGACAATTGCCATGGGCACGACGGGCCGCTAAGGTACCAGCTGCTGGAGTGCTCCGCCTTGCTGGGAGAGAAGAGAGTTTGAGGGAACTGGCTTGCGTGGCGCGCTCTGTCGGGGAGAGGGCTGGAGGAAAGGGGGAGACAGACAATTCGTGAATCATCGGAGGTGGTCGTGTGAGCTCTCATCGGGGGTCCAAGCAACTGTGACGTTTCCAAAGCCGAGCTGTGTTCCCAGAGCCTCTCGAACCCAACTGCACAGTAGCTGCCCCAATCGTTCACGGCCACATCAAAGAGCAGCCATGTGTTGTGGAGCATCGCCCTTCCATGGCTTCGACCTCGCCCCTTGCAGCCCATGTCCATCTCCCCTGCATCTCATATCATGGGCCCCCGTGTCCTCAAACTTCCCGCAGCACGGTTATCAGTGGCTGCAGCGCCACTTGTAGCTTCCTTGGTCCACATCTTGCTTCTCCAAGCGCGCCCCCCCACACACACACACACACACACACACACACACACACACACACACACACACACACACACACACACACACACACACACACACACACACACACACACACACACACACACACACACACACACACACACACACACACACACACACACACACACACACACACACACACACACACCCGCACACCCGCACACACACACACACACACACACACACACCACACACACACACATACACACACACACACGCACGCACGCACGCACGCACGCACGCACGCACGCACGCACACACACACACACTCACTCACTCACACACACACACCACACACACACGCAAACACGCACACACACACAGACACCACACACACACACACACGCACGCACGCACGCACGCACACAATCACCAGAGCAACCCAACAGGTGGTGAAGTCGGTATCCAGTCTCCTTGTCTACCCATCCTCTCGCCTCTGGCCACCTCTCCCCCGCACCCTTCCCCCCAAAGGGGGATCTTATCTCTCAACCGGCGGACGTATCGATGTCCATGCCCTGGCGGTCTGGAAACCGAGGTTCGATCCCAGTCGGACATCGGCCAGAAGAACATGAGACCCTCCGTCGGCCAAAACAAACAGAACAGTCAAAGATACCCTCCCCAAGTTGACCAATAACCTCCAACACACACACAAAGAACATTAGGGTACCCTTCGCGAACCGACCTCGATCTTATACCTCGGTCCGCATGTACGCGATTCAACGGATACCTTCCCCGCTGAACATCCGCGCAAAACCGCACTGCGTCCGTAGATTCGCGACCGATCGCTCCTCCGCCTCCTCCTCCTCCTCCTCCTCCTCCTCCGCCGCCTCCTCCGCCTACTCCGCCTACTCCTCCTCGTCGTCGTCATCTTCGTCCTCCCTCTCACCCGCCTAACCCTCCTTGTGGGTAGCTCGTATTCCCCCGCCTCCTCATCCATCACCATCGTCATCACCATCATCATCATCATCATCATCAGCAGCAGCATCATCAGCATCATCAGCATCATCATCATCAGCAGCATCATCATCTTCATAATAAGCATCGTCATCATCGTCATCATCATCATACTCATCATCGTCATCATACTCATCATCATCAGCATCATCATTATAAGCATCATCAGCAGCATCATCATCAGCATCATGCGCATCACCATCATCATCATAAGCATCGTCATCATCGTCGTTATCATCATCATCATCATCTTAATCGTCATCGTCATCGTCTTCAACATCAGCATCATCATCGTCATCCGCATCACCACCATCATCATTATCATCAGTATCATCATGATCAGCATCATCACCATCAGCACCATCACCATCGTCATCATCAGCATCATCAGCATCAACACCATCATCATACCATTATCATCATCGTCATCATCATCATCATCGGCATCGGCAGCAGCAAAAGCATCATCGTCCTTATCCTTCTCCTCCTCCTTGATCGCGCATCCACGACCTCCTGTTTGATGTTCGGCACATTTCAAGTGCTGCTGATGTAGCGTATTCCACGTCCCCCTCCTGCTCCTCATGCTCCTTCCTCTCATGCTCATCGTCCTCCTCCGCCCTTCACCGCTCCTCCTGCAGCCCCGCACGCGCGGCCTCGCAGTACTCCCTCCAGGCCGCCTCCATGGGCGAGCGGCCCCGCTTGCAACCCAGGCGGGTGTCAACAGTGGGCCGGCAAGAGACCCTCGCGGTGCCCCAATGGGAGTCGCCCCTACAGTAGGTTCCCGTCGCGATGACGTCGGTGGTCGCTTCTGACGCCGTGTGGATCGTTCAACTGAGCACGGTCGCGAGTTCCCTATACAACAGTTTTTCCGATGACGGCGGTATCGGCAGATGCCAGACCACTGGCGGCGTCCGACCTTGAACGCCCGCGTTCGGGCCACCGCGACGTCAACGCGGCGCGAACCTGCCGTCGGGGGGTCGACGCGTCTTCCTGAGGATCGGGGACGGGGGTCAAGGAACGAAAGGTGCTTCTGGGACGAGTTTTGGTCTTTGCGACTTGGCTACTTGGGCGGCTCTGGGGAAGAGGAGCAAGGGGTCCTCCTCCCCCTCCTCCTCAGGGGGAGGTGGCGACCCCATAAGCACCCACTGTTTGGAAGAGGGGGTAACCAAAAATTGATTAGGAAGACGCTGGGAGTACACAGGGTTTCCGCCCGCCCCAAGGAAAGAAAGGTCAAGGGAAGCCATTCGACCCTTGAAATAGGGAAGCGCTTCAATGTCACGTAGACTGGAATCTTGAAGCCCCACAATACAAGCTTTCAACCAGCGAGCCAACGATCGATGGTTAGCGGTGGTCTCTATTGGCCCTGTCCGGAGAAAACCCGGGAAGGGAGAGCAGAATGTGCTATGGAAGCAGCGTGGTTGCCGGCGTCCCAAAAGTGAGGGGGCACTGCAGCTCTCAGCGCTCAGGGCTGGCCTCGATGCAGTCAGGCGGCCTCCTCGGCCCAAGCAGGAGGGAGGGGGGGGAGGAAGAGGAAGAAAGGGGCCAGGGTGAGGAGCCTCGGGCGACGAGCCTTCCCGTGCCCGTGGCCTCCCGGCCAGGACTCCGAGGCGCGGTCCCACCGATGCGCGTCGCGCGGGGGCCTCCGCGCAGAGCCGCCATGCGGCCGCCCAGGGGTCGCGGCCGCGCCCGAGGAGGCCGCCCGGGCGCCCCTGGGGGCTGGCCCTGCGCCCCTGCCCCCTCGCCCGTCCCTGACCTGTCCGGAGTGGCAACGGAGAGCCCTGCGGACCTGCAGACCCATCTGGGCTGCCCAGAAGCCACGACTGCTGTCTTTCATGCCTGGTGCCAGGCTGGACGTCCAGGTCCTGCGGTCCTGGTGCTCTCTTCAACGCTTCCAGAACAGTCGGAGCCCCCTCGCCGATGCTCCAGGAGCAGAAACCAGCTCATATATATATATAGATATATATACACACACATGAGCTCTCGGAGCTCCGCGCGGATTTCTTGGAGCGCGCCAGGGGTGTCGCCGCCGCCAGGGCCCAGCGCCATTCCAAGCAATCCGCGCGGAGCTCCGAGAAGCTGTGGTTATACCACCATTGGCAATGAGGGGAGACCTCATGACGTGGTCCTGGTATTGTTATATGTGGATGATGTGTGCGAGCGACTTCAAGACAGGTGCCGCCCTGGTAGCGCCTACTCGTCTTTATCAGTGTCCCAAATTGGCGCTTATTAGCGCCTGTTGGCGCCTATCAGCGCCTATAATGCGACTGCCAAGGGACACAACGAGTCATACTCAAAATGACTCTCACGATAGCACACATCATCTTTGCTAGCCTTGCAGGAAGGTTTGGGACTCCCCGTCGTTCGGCGACTCACTAAACAGAGGCCTCCTAGATGGGGTCCGACTAGATGCGGTCGGAGGATCGTGGCGCATCGCCGACGTCGGCGGGAAGAAAATTGGGCTCCACATCAAGCCGCATCGCCGATGTATCGGCGATGCGGCGCGATCCTCCGACACAACTACAGCCGGACCTAGGACAAAAAACATCTTTCAAGAACATGAGACGCTCCGCTGGCCAAAACTGACGAACATTCCTTCCCCAGGATACACAAGAGAACATCTAACAACGACGGACATTAAGGTACCCTCCCCAAACCGACCTCCACCCCATGCCTCGGTCCGACCGTACTCGGACCTGTATCTGGGAACCCTCAACTGAAACGCCCAGTCAGCACAGACCCGGTTCAGACGGTCAGGGCCTTGTCGCGATGCCTGGCCGGCCACTGATCATAGCTCCCAGGCCCGCGTCAGCGGAGGGCGGACACGGGCCATTCGAGTAGGGGATCGACTACAGAAACGGTTTTTCCCAAAATTGAAATCTTCGCCGAGCCTACCAAAACGATATGACGGATTCTTGCGAACCTACGACCGCTCCCCTTCTTGTTCGTAGATTCGACGAACATTTGAATTTTGGGGTAAATCGATACTGCAGCCGATCCCCTACTCGAGTTATGTTGTTCCAGTCGTACTTGGGCCATGTCCCAACCTTAATCTCGAGAGCCCAGAACGCTGGCGAGACGCTGGTGAAGTGTCGAACGAGTATCGCCTCCCAGGGCCCGACGCGTGAAGACTTTCCCAGGGGTGCCGCCCTTCAGGGCCCAGGGCTAAAGTTGGTTGGAACATCATAAGACACAGGGGGTATTACGGTATCGGCCCCTGTGAAGGTTCGGGGGCCCGCATCCGGGGAAAAAAACGCCCGGCGCGAAAAAACCGAGAGACCAGGATCTCAGGGCACGTGGCTCCCAGACCCCGGTCAGCCAGAGGGCATTTCCCGACCCCCCGTCAGCGCTGCCCACGGTTGCGTGAGTTCGGGCCCCCAAGACCGCGTGGTGAACTCGAAATCCCGAGAGACCCCACCACGCGGTCCGTCACCAGACCTCAGAGGCCCTGGTCGCCCGAGGCGTCCTCCGAGGAGGACCCGAGCCCCAAAACCGTGCGGTGACCCCGAAGTCCCACCCAGTCCTGCGATGTCCTGGCTTGTTCACCACGGGGTCCCCCGCCTGCCAGGGCCCCGCTGGGCAGGGCCGCGCCCCACGGCCGGTCCGCCGCGGGCGCTGGAGGCGGGCTCCGAATTGGGGTCTGCGGGGGCGACGGGCCGCGATGCGCACCGCTTCTCTGCGTCGCAGTCCCGATGCGTTCCAGTCCCAGATGTCCGACGCCTGGACCAGAATCAAAACGCAAGCTTTCCGCGGCTTTCGGCCTCCAGGGGACCCTCGCTGGGCCCCCGGAGCAGCGCAGAACCACTCAGGACGCCAGACCGGCCCCAGGTTGGAGGTCCAGACCTCCGGGGCCCACGCGTCGAGAAAATCACGACATCGGGCAGTCGAACTTCCGTGCACATGCCATCACTTCGCGGCGTTTTTCCTTGCGTGTCCCGAGACGTTGCCAGTTGCGCGCTCTTCTTGCCCAAGCGTCCTCACGGACGCTCGGCTTAACTGGCTCAGGCGAGGGGGGCGCTGGGCCGCGCGCTGCCGCGCTGGGGGGTGGGGATCTGGACCCCCGACGTCGTGCTTTTGTTCGCAACGTCGACCCAAAAAGGTCTGGACCCCTTCCCCGTGCTCGATCGTGGAAGCTCTTGTCGTGTCTTCTAGTGCACTGTATACTGCCCCAGCATGTCCTCCAGCGTGTCTTAGCGGTTGCCGCGCTTGATGCGGGACGCACCCTGTACGCCCTGGTGGAGAGCATTTCGCGCATTTCCTCGGCGGTCTGCGTTGCAATGGTTTGTGACCTCAGCCGATGACGCCACGGCGCCCTCCAGCAGGCACGACAATTAAGTGGTCGATGCATGTGCGCAGGGTCACCTCCTTCCCTCCCCCTCGCATCCATCCTCTTGCTCCTGCTGCTGCTTTTACATGTTTCTTCCTCCCGCCCTCCCCGCACTTCTGCCGCCGCCGCCCCTGCCGCCGCCGCCGCCTCCTCCCTCGCCGCCATTCCCCTGTGCGCGCCGCTAGTTTTCCTGGAGGCGGCCAGGCGAACCCGCGGGGAGGCCGTCCCCAGGCTTCGCGGGGGCGGGCGTGGCCACGCGGCAGGCGCGCCACACGTGGCAGGGGCGCCAGGCGCGACGAGAGCGCTAAGTGCACCAGGTGCGCCACGTGCCCAGCGCGCTAGGTGCGCTACACGTGCCAGGTGCGGCAAGCACGCCTCGTGCCACAGATTCGTCGGGCGCCCGTGGCGCACTGCGCTGCCACATCGGTCGGCGGCAATGCTGGGCGAACAGTTCGATCCCGACTACCCTCCGGAGCAGCTGCGCGGCAAATACCCCGCCTCACCTATTCCCTTCACCGGTCGACTTTCCGCAGCCACCCCCCCAGTTACCGTTTTCTCCCCAGAAATAGCGCCACGAAGGCTGCACGCACGTTTGACCCCCATATTGTGCCACATGCTTGGCTTCACCGTGCGTCGCGATATTCCCATTGTTCGTCACGAGATTGGCTCCATTGACCTCGCTGATGGCTCAGCGATGCGAGCATGCAATGGTTCCAGACCGCCGCCCAGAGTATCACATTCTTATCCTTTGGCCGCTCGTCAAATCAGCCGAGGGTGGTCCTGTGGGTATGTCTCTGGGCGCTCCATCAGCGCGGGTTTCCAAAAGAGAGTTTGCCGAAGGCACCTGTCCTGGCCAGTGCCATCCAGAGCCTGTGGATGGTCAACAGACCCTCATGGTTCGGACGGCCAGGTACCATCCACTGGCCCAGGATGGCACTGGCCAGACATGGTGGTGATAGTACTGAAATGCCTGTGGGGGAAACACGAGTCACATCTGAATGCCTTGCCCATCAACTACAGGGCAGCAAATGAATCCACCCGCGGCCTTCGACGGAGACTGGCCCTCCCCAGGGCCTCGACCGCCATTTCTCCTCAGGAGTATGCCACCGTCCGCCGGCCTTCCGCCAGCCTGTGTTTCTGACAGCTTCCACTGGCTTCCGCCGACCTTAAACTTCCCTTCCGCCGACTTCAGGCGTTTCGATTCGGTTCCCGACGAGTTCCTGTACTTGAGGCGAGTTCAGAATCGAGCGCTCCGAATTCCGCCCTTAGGGCGGCGTCTCCGTTCATTGCTTTTCTCAAATTTCAGGGGTGGGGCCGGCAAACGTTTAGAGCGAGGGGCGGTCGCTGTAACCTCAGTCAAAAGGGCTGCGCGCGGCGCGCCTTCCGTTCGGATCCTTTGAGGGGGGGGAGAGGGGGATCGCAAGGGGGGTAGAAGGAGGTCAGACAGGGAAAATGAACGTGGAGGCTCTCCCGCGGGCGAGCGGGCGCCCT